CAATTTGACTACCCCTGCTTCCATATCTATTTTACTTTTGTCTTATTTTTTCAATTATGAATTTTTAAAATGGTTGATTATTACTCCAGACTATACATGTGGACATTAACTTGAATCTGAACAATGCCATGATACAAGTTCTCTTACTTATTTCTTGCTAAGGCAATCTGTCATTTGCCAGCACTGAAGGATGAGTTACTTCCAATTGTCAAAGCATGAACAAACCCAGTAAGAAAACAGCTGTTAACCATTTCAGTTGTTTCAGTCCCTTGCTTTAATCTTACTTTAACACCAAAATACAATTCATTATTTTGTGACAGGCCAGACCAAAATAATTTCACCAATATATTTCTTATTTTGAGCGTTGAAGATGTTGAATAAGGAGGTCTGCTCTAGAATCAAAGCTGGCAGTATATTTCCTTCCCCTGGATTTGATTGGAACAGTGAATCGGCAAGATGAGGAACACAATCGCAGAGACAAACCATTGAGAATAAAGCAAGAGGACAGAATGTCTTTCTCATCAAAACCTCTAATAAGGAGTGTGGGCGCAAAACACTGGGATCTGGTTCTCCATACTGTCAGTATGATTCATAGGAGATGGCCTCCTTTCTAACAACATCTTCACTTATCAATGTCTGAATCAATGTCTGACTTTTCAGTGTTTGTGAACCTTTGTTGTGCTTTGTCTCTGGCCTGTTTTACGAGGAAACCATTAGAAGGGTCTTTTTAGTTTAATAAATGAAGTCTCCAATTTTAAGTATTTCTGTCCTTTAAATTCCCAGAAATATCAATCCTCATGGGATTTGTGAAAAACTTACAGGTATGGTTTCTTCTTTCCTGAAATACTTTCCAACTTGCGTCTTTCCATTAACAAAGATACCAGGGGCAGGACCCAGTTCCAAGGACTCGGTCTGCTGGCCATCAACATACAAAGTGACGCTTTGCTCTGATACCAGAAGGCGAATCTGGTGCCAGTGTTCATCAAAGAGTTTCTATTTCAATGAAAAAGAGTGAGATAAGAATTAGTGAAATGAAATAATAAATGGGAAATGCAATTTATGATCTCCAGCCTTAAAACTGGAGCTGATCAACATGAACATAATACATCATACCTGTAGCTTTAATTCTGGATTAAATTTTTGCATATGTGTATCCAAATATACGTATGTGTATTATTAATATATCCCCAAAAGAGAGATGCAGAATAACAAAGTGGTCAATTGTTGAGATAAGATAAACAACAAGATTAATAAATACAGAACTGACGAAGTATTCCTAAAACACCTCAATCGCCATGATCATTTCTGCCATGCCTAGAATGTGCCTGTGTAAATCCAACACTTCAGTTATTGTATCTTATAAACTCTTGAATGCAGTGTCTCCTTTCTAAAAACATTCCTTGTCTTTACTTGTTCTATGGAATTACACACATCTTTTTCTTCCTGTTGGAACTGAAACTTTTTACACATCGTTTACTGTGGTTATAGAAATTTACCCACTAGAAAGGACATCACTTTATTTCTTTGTGATTTATGTTTTATTCTTATCTACTGTATATTGATAAGTTAACTCTTTCGCACTCTGAAGATGTATCCTTGTACTGACAGGCTCTAGCAACTGGCTGTCTTGTTGCTAACTATTTTTATATATTATCACTTTCTTTCCTTATTTAATTTTAAAGCAGTCAGTCACTGCTTGATCTTTTTGATTTCATTTTTAAATAGAGATATTCTATGGCCTTGAGTGTGTGTGGGGGAGATCTATGGGCAGTCATTTAGGGGATTTATAACTTGGAAACTTTTATTCAGTTGTTTATCTTGAAGTGTTGTTTCCCTCCTAAACCTTTGCAAAATAGAAAGGTTTTGAAATTTGGTTTATTGTAATCCTTTCTCAAAAAAAGGCTTAGTCTCATCAACCTCCCTGAAGCTAGAATGAAGTCTGTGACACTGAAACAGAGGCTGCAAGTGAGAAATGTACATTGAGACAGTCAGCAACCAGACCCTCTGTGGCTGTGCATTCTGTGTTGTTGCCTAACGCTTGGCAACACTATTTGAAATGGAATCTTATCCTGGACAGCCACTGTTTGGATGGCTGCACTGCATTTTATTACAATGGAATAGCAGGGCTGCAGGTGTGTCTCCTGTGTCCCACTCTTTTTCAGGTTGGCCTATTTTTCCAGGAAATGTTCCCCTCAATACGTGATGTGTAAAGCTAAGCTTTGTGAGTGTCGAGATTTTAAAATTTTAGATTCTGTTAATGCTGATGAAGAGAGGCAGCCTCTTTTTTACTACACAGAACAATGAAAAAAAAACACAGTAGTTGCTGTCACCAAAGAGTGCCAAGCCAGAGATTGTTAACCCGTTGATTCAGTATTTTCAGTAGAGAGCCACCCGTGTTGTAAATTTCTATGAATTTATGAGAAATTGAATAGGTCTTCAGAATCCGATGCTGGGGTGAAAAATTAAAGAGGAGCACAGCTAGAAATGATTTCCAACCCATATGGTGGTTAGAATGCTAAAAATCCAGGGCTTTTGCTGGCTGGGGAGTGGCAGGAAGTCATTGCAAAGCCAGGCTAACAGATGCTGATGCAGAAAAAGAGCTCCTGTAGGAGGTCTCAGACAGTTTGCTGTGCATCCCTCACTGCTGTTCTTCTTGCCAGATAATCTCTCTACTGAGTAAACAGAGATCTGAGTGCACAATCAATATGCTTAATGTGCTGGGGCCCCGATTTCATCACCATGGAAATTTCCATCCAGAAAGTGAGCAAACAAAGGAAAAATAATTTGATCCAATGTCATTTTCCAATAAGGTATCATCCACTTGTGCCTGATTTTTTACCATTCTTTTTTCACATTATAGAGAGAGTAGCAGATATATACTACAGAAGTTCAGAGTAATATTTTTTCTGGACACAAAACAGAGTTAATTACTGAGCCATGCCTATCCTTTCAATCTTTTCTGTTAATCTGCATTTGGAAATGGGGACATTAAGAATAGATAGCAGAAGATTTTTGAAAAGAAGTTGCTTCTCTTATTGTGTGAATTTTGGAAGTACGGTCTCAATATAACTAAGATATTAATGCAGTGTTTTAAAATGTATGATTTTAAAAGCTTGTGTGGGGGGTTCTGTTTTTTTTTTATCTTTCAGGAAGCATCTTACAAATCTAATGTTTTCACCAGGTAAAAGTTTACTTTACGAGATCCTATCTGAAAAATATAAATTCAGATGTTTTATATATAAAAGTGCAATTTTATATGCATCCTTTTCAGTTTGGAATAAAGTCTTTCCTGGTCCTCAAAATAATAAGTTTATGAAATAATGCCATAGTCATTGTTAAATTGGCTAATGTCTACTTTCGACATTTTAAACATTTTGTGTAATAGTGTACCTTTTACTTTTCGTGGTTCTAATACTGCTAAATAGATACAGTTTTAACTAGTGGCACAGTGAATATTAAATCAAAACTTGAATGTTTAAACCTATTACTTTTATGGGTAAAAGAAATTGCATTTTAGCAGAAACTGCAAAAGGAAATCCACCCATCCATTTTTTAACCAGTTGTGGAGGAGTCAGAGCCTATCCCAGCAAGGCAGTATAGGGGCCAGTTTTCCCAGGAGCAAATTACCCTGCCAGTATTTCTTTAGACTGTGGGAGGACACTGGAGCACCTGGAGGATTCCCACGTGAACACAGGGCGAACATATAAACTTCATGCAGATCACCACCCAGGTGCAGAATTGAACCCAGGACCACAAAACCACGATTGCATAAGTATTCACCCCCTTTGGTATGGCAAACGTCCTGTAAATTAGTGCAGGTGCACAAAATTATTTGAATGGTTACTGTGGGCAATAAAATAGTACACATGGCTTTAGAATGAATGCACCTGTCTCTATAAAGTCCCTCAAAGAGGTAGTGAATTTCTAGCAAAAATGTAACCATACAACGTAAACTAAAGACAAAGTTGAAAAACCATAAATGGCGAGGAGTCGTTAGTAAGTGGGAGGTGTATCCAATCACTCAGACACTGCCTACATCAGGCTGTCCCTCCAAACTGAGCAGCTGGACCAGCAGAAAACTGGTCTCAGCTGTTGACCTCTCTGTGCCTTTCAAAGTTGGTTGGCTTCACAGTAGCACCCGCAGTAAAAATAATGGCACCTTTGAAAGGGGTAGAGAGGTATCACTGTCACTCTAGGATGCAGGCATAAGTGGCATAAGTGTCTTCAGCAATTAGAATAACATAAAGTACTTTTGTTGTATAAACTGTAAAGTTATTTTATAATCTAGTTATTTATTTACTATACATTAAAAACACTGTATTAATGTATTTAAACTGCTGCTGGCTGCATTTCTAAATAGACCGTCCTGACAGCAATAATTTGAATGTGTGCCTTCATCACTCTCATATTCACAGGTGATCTGTGTTTAACTAAAAATAATCTTCCTGGAGAGAAAAACATTTTGTAGCTTGTTTCAGGAAAATTAGTTGTAGCTATTCACTATGGTAACTGCAGTGTTTTATATGAATCCTGTTTTTATTCAAAGCTGGATTGACAACTCATATATTTGAATGTTTTTGCTAAAAAAAGTAAAACTCTTCATTTCAATTCAATTAGTGCACAGATTGCTGGTCCTAGCCACTTTCTAGTGTTCCTATTCCTGGAAATGCTAAATTCTAATGAAAAAAAGATCCCTATGAGCTTGAAATTCATCCAGGGTTAAATAAACGAGGACAGATTGTCTAGCCAGAATATTTTAAGCTTTTCGGGGGATAAAATTGAGACAATTAAATTTCGGTTCACAGCACCAGATGACAAAGAATGATAGAATGACTTTACCATGATTTCGCATCAGGAATGTGAAATTCAGTTCAGTACCTCTGTTTCTTGTGTTGAAAACGTCACGGTTTGTGTGTCGTTTCCCATGCTGGTGGTGGTGAACATTACTGTCTTGTCTTTGCCATTTAATGTGACTGCCATCTGTGGTGTCCCGTCCAGAGCTTGTATCCTCCAGAGATCCCATGTCTCCGTCGTCACGGATCCTTTATATTTCAGTGTGGCAACAAAGACATAAGAAGGAGGTAGGCCATCAGGAAATATGGCTCTGAAATTCAAAAAAGGGCTTAGTTGGTGGAATCCCCAGTGAAACACATGTGATCCTTAACATGATCCACATTTAAAAAAAGACCCATGTTAATGAATCATAAAAGAACAAGATAATCAGAAACAGATTTTGGACAGGCGGTACCTTGTGCTTTCAGTTAAGTCAAGTCGTGATGTCACCAGATAGGCTCTGCTACCAGAATAAGATCCTTTGGTCCTTTTAGCTTTCTTGGCGAAGTCTAAGCCAATCAGTATATCAAAGCCCTTTTCATCACGGGCTGCTACTGGGATTCTTGTTGGACAAACCGTTTCTAAAGCGTGAAAGAGAGAGAGAAATGTGAAACGTAGTCACCCCAGGAATAAAACAGAAGCGCTTTAAATAAATTATTTTCAGATGCTTACATTAAAAAAACAATGAAAAATATCTCCTAGTAAACGTCTTCTACTTGATCTGTTGAATCAGACTAATTTTCTATTTCTTTATTTCAGACATTTATAACACCTGCCTATACTGTATATGTATACTATTCCCTGCGAAAATATTGTTTACATTTTTCAAAAAAGACTAAATTGAATCTATACAAAACTGAAAATCTAAAAATGATTGATGGTAAGCACATAAATTTAATCTTTAAAAAACATTAGATGATTTATTAATTTAGAAGAACATGTGGAATTTTGTTTTCACTTTGACTTTATAGCATGCTTTGTGTTGGTCAATGTAGAACAATCCAGACTATATCCACAGTATTTATACAGTAGCTTCATATTGTAATGCAATAAAATGTGTCAAAGTCCTTGGGGGTTGAATACTTTTTATATGCACTGTACCAAGCATGCCGATAACAGCATCGTGTCCTGGGGATCCTTCTCATTAGCAGGGACTAATAAATTTCCCAGGATTGGGGTACAGTGGCTGACACAAAGTTCAAAGGAATCCTGGAGAAAGACCTCTTTGAGTCACCAAGTCTGAAGGTGGCTCAGAAATTCAGTTTGCAGTAGGACAATACCCTGAAGCAAGTCCAAGCTAAACTGACAAGAAAGTGAACGTCCTTGACTGGCCCAATCAGTCCTGACTTGAATCCGATAGAACATTTATGGCCGAGTAATTTTGCCAAAAAAAATGAACAAAATAACACCCCCCTGTGAAGACGTATCCAGAAATACTGACAGTAATTGCTGCCAAAGGTGCTTCCACCAAATACTGACTTAGGGGGCTGAATAATTACGCAATCAGTAAATTACACTCCATATATTTTCTTTGCAGCTTTTGCTGACATTCAACCTCCTTCACATATAAAAGTGTTCAGTCTTATAATTACAGTTTTGAATGAAAGAAAATCATTTTGAAAACGAAATTGTAATACATTACTTGTAATTCATCCAAATGTGATGAGTTTAGCAGGGGGTGAATTCTTTTGCAAGTCACTGTACATTCTCAGAAACTATAACCCAAGCATGTCTAAAGGAATTTTTGTAAGTTGGCTTGATTGGTTGCAGTTGGTTGTATTAAACTTTGTACTAGTGCCACTTTGGCAGTATAATAAATTACCATTGCTGTGATTGAACATCTTTTTTCCATTCGTGGACCCATTATCACAAAGCCGCTAATTCTTAGTAGGAGATGTGGCAATGTGGAAGCTTTCCCAGATGCTTAGGACGCAACACATGGATGAGACCCAGTCCTTTGCAGGGCACACAGACACACAAGAACAGTTTAGAGGTGCCAGTTAACCAAGCTAGTATGTCTTTGAGGGAGGAAACCAGAGCACCTAAAGAAATCCCACGTAGACGTAGGGAGAACATGTGAACTCCACACAGAGAGACCTCAATCTGGAATCAAAGTGCAGACTGGGAGAAAACCAAGCTGGAAGCTGTACAGCTCAACTTTCAGATTAGCCACACAAGATACCAGTACCATGAGACAAATCCAGCTAGTGATCAGCCTGCCCCTTGCCCAAGCTCCCACAAACGCAGCATCAGTCATTTCAACATGGTCTTGTTTTAGCATTGTAACAAACGCTCCTGGTTATGTCAGCACCATGAGGAATGATAGGTTGGAGACGACGCTACAGGCTCGCTGACAGTTTTTCCTGTCTGTACGCCTCTCTGTTTCTATTCTCTTTGACTCCACCACCCTCTCCCCTTCTTCCTTTGCCAAGAACCTCAGCAAATCTCCTCACCCCACCTCTCTGGCACACTCTGGATGCTTTCTTCAGAGCAAAGCTTGCAGAATCCGACCCTACCTTACCGATTGTTCCACCACAACTGCTAGTGTCAAGCCCTGGTAGTATCCTGCCAAAAGTATTGTAACTCTCTCTTGGCTGGCTTCACTGCTATACTTATATACCTGCCACAATACTTTTGTGGCACAATACCACAAGCAGAGAGGCGTAAGGACAGGAAAGTTGGGCAAGGAACGAAAAGGGGCTCAGAACGCATCTAAGAGGAAAAGGTTGTAACACGGGCTGAGATGTGGGAAGAGAAAGGAAGACTTGAGATTCAAAATAGTGATATGCAAAGCTGTGGGAAGAGGTAAAAAGTCCCAGGGAAAAACTATATGGATAGAACGGTAGAGAGCCCAGGACAGAGCCCTGAGGGACGCCAGTGGAGAGAAAGGAAGAAGCAGAGAACAAGCCCCATCAAACGACCAAATCTGTTAAAACTAGGTGAGAGCAGTACTAAAAATCTTAAGGTCACTAAGGTGTTGAGGATGTTCACAAAACACATTCATCCACTGTGTCAAGGGCAGAAATGAGATCATAAAGGAACAGGTCTAAGGAGAGGGAGGAGTGAAGAGAATTGATAACAGAGAGCAGGGAGTCTCAGTTTGAGGACCACACTAGAATAGGGTCGATGAGTGAGTGCTGAAAGAGGAACACAAGGAGCTGGTAGAGCTCTGGCTGCTCCAGGATTTTAGAGGTGAAGTGAAGAAGAGACATCAGTGGGAGTAGGTGGGGGAAGGAGATGAGAAGTAACTAGAGCAGTCAAGAAGGGGGACACGGAGGATGGAGGGAGAGTATTCCCTGGAAAAGTTCAGATCCAGCCTACAGACGGCTTTGTGAAAAGGGGGTAATGGAGAGAGAGGCTGAAGGAGAGCAAAAAAGAATTAACCTAGATGAATGTTTGAGGCTGGAAAGGTGAATGTTGAACCCATCTGGCAAAATTACTGTTGTAGAAAGAGATCAATTGAAATCAACATTTGTGAAATAACAAAATCACACTAGTACCGAACACTTTGCACAAAAGATCATGCCCTTTTCATGAATTGTTAAAATATGTTTCTCATAGAAATAGCTGTGAAGTTTCAAGGCGGTGTATGTTATATGGTCAGTTGTTAGGATCAGTTGGAGTTAAAATAATGGAAAAGAGCCATCAGCTCATTTGGTTTTGGCCTTCATTCTGGAGTAAAGAATCTGTAGTAAAAAAGCCTGGCGCAGAAAACTGGACTTGTTGCAACTATGCAGTCAGTCTCTAAGAACATCCCTCCCATTGTAAAAACCAGACATAAAATGACCTTTGCCCCAGAAACTTTTTCTTCTTCAGATTGACATTCCAAAAAATGAATAAATTCTTATTCCTTGCATCATCTCATTTCTCTATAGTGTCTTAACTGTGAACAACTTTTAGAGTTTTACGACAGGTGGTGGACCTAATTTTCATTTACTGTTAAATGGGCAAGATGGCTGTGGTTAAATATCTGTCTCATTTCAGACTAGTTACACTAACATCTTTTTTCGGAATCCCTAGAATTTTAGGACTATTTTAACCATCGGGAAAATGCTGTAGGAGATATTCCCTTTATTGTTCTCTAGTGCTGTTTAGCATTGTGCCTGTTGCTTTGATTTATGTCTCCATATTGAATCTTATCATATTAAAAGAATACCAAGACCAATACAATGTATGTACAAACTCATCTTCACCCATTTGACGCATGGATGTCACTTGACTGATTGTTAGGGTTGTGGTTAAATTAACCAATTATGTTTTACCAGAGTTGCTCATTTTATTGCTGCTCTGGAATAATATTGTTTTTTGAATGTTATTCCACTAAACAGAAATGACTGCAGGAATTATAAATGATACCCATGATAGGAAAACTAATAAAAACATGCTGTTTTGTTCACTGTAACTGTTTTATAAATTTGTGAGGAAGTGTTAGGTTCTTTGAAATCTTGCTAAGGAGGCATCGTTATGAAAAGCACAGCTGGTGTGTACAAGCTTTGTAGTGTAGTATTTTGAAACATATTTTGTACTCAAAAATGCATATCTATTTTAAATAGATTCTGAATTCTTTAACAGGAACTCAGAAGGATATGAGTTGAAACAAATACAGTCTGTATGTCTTAACATCACAGAACGAGCAGGTACAGATGATGAGATGACAATAGTCTGATGATTTTATGATGATTTGTCTAGCAACAGAAAGTGAATCAGAAATGCAGAATTATAATATGAGGATTCTTACTTCTCACCCTATCTAGTATCTTTCTTCCTCACTGCAAAGCAAAATTTCCCAATGTGACTACACTGGTGAGAAACAAAATTCTGCTGTGCACCAATGAAATCATGGACTAACCTAGCAGGAAATAGAAAGATCAGAGGAGACTCAAAACTTCTGTGCGAGACATTTGAAATTTAAAAGACAGCCCTATATA